CGGGCGTGCGGCGCAGAGACCCGGACGGCGGCGCGACAAGGAGGCGGGGCCTATCCCGGGAAGTCGCCGGCCGGGGGCGGGGCGGCCCGGCCATTGGCGCGCGCCGTCCTCGGCCCGCCCAGGTCCTTCGGGCTCTTCCGTGGCTGGAGGACGAGCTAGGCCTGCGCGGAGCATCCTTCTCGGAAGCTCCGCAGTCCTGGCGCCTCCCCTTGGCCCTCGTGGTTCTGGTTCTCGCGGGCAAGGTGCCTTCCTCGGGGCCCCTCCTGGTGGTGGGGGGATGGGGGGGGCGGATTCCGGTCACTCTAGGGCTGGGCCACGACCCAGAGATTCCCTTTCCCACAACAGACAGTCCGGCATGTGTTTAGAGTTTGACCTGCTGAACCGTCAGCTCAAAGAGAAGGCAGACCTTGTCTCTGACCACGCGCACCCCGTGGCCCCTCCTAAATCGGAAAGGACCATTGTTCATTCATTAAGCCAGTTCAGTGAGTCGACCATCATCGGCAGGGGCTTGGGGAGCACCATAAACCTTCCCTAGGTGACAGACTCAAACCTGACAAGTGGAATAAAATCGGAGTATATGCTAAAATGACAACTTGTATTACAGTCCTAAGAATTTACCATCTGTTAACAAATTTAGTCTTCAAAGTATCTTTTATCAGCCCCACATTTTCTTTTAAAGACTTTATTTATTTATTTATCAGAGAGAGAGCATGAGCAGGGAGAAGGGGCAGAGGCAGAGGGAGAAGCAGGCTCGCCTCTGAGCAGGGCCCTGGGATCCCAGGCCCCTGGGATCATGACCTGAGCCAAAGGCAGACACGTAACTGACTGAGCCACCCAGGCGTCCCATCAGCCCCACATTTTAAGTGGGGAAACAGACACGTGAAGTAACTTCCCAAGGTGACAGAGTAGCTAGCAGGTGGTGGATCCGGGATTTCAACCCCAAAAGTCTGAAAGTATAGCCCCTCAAAACACTATACCACACTGCCTCTCCCCAGATGTGTGGGGCGGGAAGGGAAAGAAATAGCATTTATATTTGACTGTCTGATCAAGATAGGCCATCTCCCAGGTGGTTGGGGGTCAACAGGCCCAAAGAACAGGAAAGCATTTGACCCCTGTTAGGACCCAAAAGCATAAATGGAATTTAAGGATGGAGGAGCAGAGTGGCCTGAGATGCGGGTGGATGGGGTCCAGACCAAGCCAGAGGCCCTGGTAGAGTGTGTATTTTATGCTAAGAACAATGCAAAGCTATTCAGGCAGTTTTGGGGAGAGGAAATGATAGGATCTGACGTAGGGTGTGGTTTGGGAGTCATTAAGATGATTTTGCTGAGGAGAAGAAATAGAGTAAATTTTATTAATAAATCCTGGAAGCCAGCCACTCACTACTTTGTAGATACTCATAAGATGAATGTAGAATGGGTTAAAGTGGCAGAGGAAACACCACTTTGCTGTCCCTTTACCTTTCTCAGAGTCTTCTAAACATGTCTCTAGTTTTGAATCTGTTCTTGTTGTAGTCCCTCTGGAGAGCTGACAGGTGTCCCCTTTCCTTCAGTTATGGCAATGAATGTGGACAAGGTGCATGGGAAGAGTCTCAGGACAGAGAAGTAAACATCAGCAAAGAGACTAATGAAGGAATTCAGCGGCGACCTAGTGGGCTTGGGAGTGGTTGTGCAGAATGCTTTCCTCCCAAACCAGGTGATAAACACTGGAAGAGGTTATGAAAGAATTACAATAGGGATTCACTTGAACTCAGGAGAAATCCACCTCAGTCTGAGGACTTCACACCTCTGGGCAAATGACAACCGCAGTTCATTTGAAATGGTAAAAACCATTTGTTTGGAGTAGAGGAAAAATGTCTTCTAAACTATTAAAAAAATAATTAAAATTAATACAGAGGTGATGGAGCAAAATTAACTCATTGTATAACCGCTTTTTGAGTTAAATTCAGGGTAATCTCTATTTGGTATGAAAAATGCTTATAATTCAATTTAAAGAAAATGGAATCAATTGACCTGATTATTTGAGAGAAATCTGTCCAGCCTGAGAAAATTTAGCTCGACCTAGAGTACCAGGGAGCCAGGTGGAAAAGCACAGGAGACCTGATGGGCAGGTACTGTCTTCATATTTCCCCAAACCCCCGCCTCTGTAAACAGGTACATCTCCCCTGAACCACCATTAAATAAATCCCGGCCCCTGGGCTCCAGGCTCCATTCCTGCCAGCTTCCCTCAGCCTCACAAGCTTTCCATTATTTGGGGGTATTTTTCCCTCTCTGTCTTGTCTCTCACTTCTCTCTGGCTCTCAGCTTCTCTATGTATATATACTCTATCGCTTTCAACCTGAATAAACTTTCCCTTCATCAAATGTGCCCCAGTCCCCAGATGTCACACCTTCCCCACCTTCCTAACAGACCTTCAGGAAGACCATGCCGACATAGGCCTCCATTGTCTCAGCCTGATTCAGCCCTCGGGTCAGTATAGTCTGGCTTTCCTCTTCCCCAATCCCCTGAAACTGCTCTCTGAGGCCACCGGCGACCTCTCAGTGACCAAATCCAATGCTCCTGAACTTCCCTAGCCTCTCTGTGGCATCGGACATAACTGACCACTCCCTCCTTGACTCCTCCTTCCCTCTGGTTTCTGAGTCTCCACTCATCCCTGCTTTTCCTCCTACACCTGTGGCCCTTCCTTCTTCCTCTTTTGTCCTCCCCTTTTAAGTGTTGGTTCTGATGACATTCTTTCTCAACTCTCTTCTCTTTTTACTCTCTACACTCTTGCTGACCAACTTCCCAGGAAAGACAATAATAAAAGTCCCCATTTATTGAGCATCAGACACTTTACACATGCCATCCCTAATTCCTAAGACAATTCTGCAAGGCAGATAACAAGACTATTATTAGTAACACTGAATGAGCACTTATGAACAGTCATAGAATTTAGTCTTTTACATAAAAATACCATTATCATCACTTTAGAGATCATAAACTGAGGCCAAGAAAGTCTGAGTGGCTATCCCAGACTGCACAACTTATGGCAGAGCTAGGATGCAATGAAGGACTCCCAGCCTGCCTGCCTTCTCCCACCCCATACCCCCTCCCATGCAGAGGTGCTCCCTCAGCCTAAACTGCTCTCTCTGGCTTTAAGTACCAAATACCCACAAGTCCTGCACACATCCTCATCTGGAGGACCCAGAGATACCACAAAAATCAGCTTGTCTCAAGCACAGTTCATTCTCTTCTTCCAACCTCACACTTCTCTTCTGTGTCCTCTTGATGAATAACAATTCCTCAGCCCAAATGATGTCCTCTCTCTGCCTCCTCCTCCCATTCTCAGCATCCTGCCTCCTCACCTCCTTCTATTCAGTCAGTTCTTTCCGTAGACCATTCTGTGAGTCTTCCCTCTCCTCCCCACTCCCTGTTACTTTAGTTCTAGCTCACATCATCTACTTGCTGGCCCACAGCAACAGCCTCCACTCAGCCTCCCTGCCTCCATCGTCCCTCCCCTAGTACCCTTCCGCACTGCTATCATCTCCATTGGAAATCCTTAAATGGCTCCTCACTACCACCAGGACCAAGACCAATTCCCTGTCTATCTTTCTACTTCCTCCCACCCCACACACCTATTATGATCTAGCCAGACTGAACTATTTGTAGTGCCCTGAATGCTCTGGCCAGCACTGTTCCATACAACTCTCTGTGATAATGAAACTGTTCTATAACGGTGCTGTCCAATATGGCAGCCACATGTGGCTAGTCAGTACTTGACATGTGACTAGTACAACGAAGGAACTGATTTTTAATTTTTATTTACCTTTAATTTAAATTTAAATAGTCATATGTGACCGGTAGATACCATATTGCAGAGCACAGCAATTTATATCTCAAAGTGTGAGCCAGCAGCATGCACCTCACCTGAAAGCTTGTTAGAAGTAAAGAACCTCGGGCCCCACCCCTGATCTGCTGAGTCATAACCTGCATTTCAACCAATGTGACTTGCATGCACATTGAATTTTCAAGAAGCACTGCTCAAAGAGCTCTTTCTTCCTTGCCTTTGCATGTTCCGATTTCCTTGTCTGGACTGCCTACCACCTCTCCTCCTTTGCTCCCTAACTCCTATTTATCCCTCAAGACTCAGCATCTACAAGCACAACATATTCTTAGTATGATTACCTGGAGAACAGGGTGGATGAGGAGGAGTGAGAAGGAGAAAGAAAATGTCTATGATAAAACCACATGTATCTTGTAATCCCAAGTATCTATATATCTGTATACTATATCTATATCCATATATATGTATATATATTATAGTCTGTGTGTCTTCATGCAAAGATGCTTACTGTTAATGGTGGTTCTTCAAGGTGGTGGGACTTCATATATTTATTTTCTTTTAAATATTTCTGAATCATCATTGTAAATTCTTTACAATGAGTCTATATTATTTATAATCAGAAAATAAAATAATCATCACTTTCATTACAGAAAATAAAGGAAAGCCTATTTTACCCTTCTGTAAATAGTTGTATGAACATGGTATCAGAACAAAGTAGAGTTGACATTTGAACAATGTGGGGGTTAGAGGCACTGACCCCGGCACAGTCAAAAATCCACAATAACTTTGGACTCCCCCAAAACTTACCTACTAATAGCCCCCTGTTGACTAGAAGCCTTACCAATAACATTAACAGT